ATTTTGGGAACACTTTCCAGAAACAAACTCTTTTCTACACACTTCTTAATTAAGCACTTTTAAAACTTGTGATAATTTCCTGTTATACTGGAGCTATATAGTGTTTATATGAATAGTTAGAAATTTGTCACTCTAAGTAACCATGGTGTATTGAATTTTTAAAAAAATTAAATTGTAGTCCTTTTAGCTACCGTTTTAATTTTGATGATGACCTAGGGAAATTGTTTCTCTTGGCTGTCTATTTCTGGATTTTACATGCAAAAAGCATTATCAATGTGATGCTTCTGTATAAAATGGAAAGCTGGAGGGGTGTCACTGGCATGTCAAATTTAAATATCATTCAGGACTAATAGTAACAGACTGATTTTTCCAACCCACGCATGAAAATTAGTCTCATAATTTTGTAGTCATGCTTCTTATCCCTCCTTTTTCTTTTTTTCATAAACACTAAAGAGGCTAATTCCCAACTTGAATTAATAGGAACTGCTTGGGTGAAGCTCTGCCTGGGACACCAGAATAGCCCTTTAAATTGTTCATCCAGGGAATATTAAAATGTATTTTGCATGTAAACTCCAATCACAATTACCCAGGAGGTTCCAGGGGCTTTAATTTCCTGTGCACATCCTAACCCAGGCTATTCCTCCATAACTTGAAAAAAAAAACATGAATTTACTAGAGACAAGGTTGTCCTGCAGAGCAAAGCCCCAACTGTATCAATAGGCTTTTTTTATAAAACCTATCCAATCAACGTGTACATAATGACTTTATCTCTCAGTGCATTCCCTATACTATGCCTCATCTCCAAATAGCTCAAGACGTAAGCAGATGTTGTGTCCTTGCAACTAGGTCAGTTCAAACTGTAGCTCTCCTAAGCAAAAGACCTAAGAAGACACAAATTAAATTGCATTCCCTGCTCTGCACACAATGACTGTCAAACCCACAGCTCCTCTCTTATGCCGAAATGATTATTTCACAACCGCTTGGGCAGCAATTTGAGTGACAAGGTGATGGAACATCTTTCTGACCGACTAGTGGTTTGTCTGAAGCTGACTTCCAGTTTAAAAAAAAAACAAAATACCTAAATTAACAAAATTTCAGAAGTGGGAGACATAATGGTTGGCAAGGTATCCAAATTAGCCTTATCTTAATCTTGCTGAGCCCGGCTAGCATGACTGATTATACAACTGCATTACCCTGGAAGGCCCTAGACTCAGCCTAAAAGACGCTGCTTCTAGCCTTTTAGAATTGCTGGCAGAGATTCCCTGGCTTCTCAACATGCAATGGTTCTCTTGGGTTTCAATCTCAGGGCTGGTTCTCCTGGAAAGGAAGAAAAACAAAGTCTTGCTTTCCAAAGTTACCGCTGAAATCTCAAGTTAACTTCCTGCCTTGGAGTTGTGTGGCAAGAAAGCACTGAAGCTTGAGAGTTGGAGATTTCACTAATGTCAAGGGTGCAGCTAGGTGGAAATGTCTAATTTTCAGGATGTAGAGATAGTGAGATGTCAAATACAAGCCTATTACATTTTGTTCAGGCTTAATAGTAACAAGACTGACTTCTACTCCTCCAAAAAAAGAAAAAAAGTATGAACATTTCAAGATTATGAAGAAAAAGGAGCCTGCATTTCCTTCTGAAATTGAACAGGCAATGTAGATCATTTGTGTGTCTTCTTATATGTGTACATGAGATAGTCATTTTCTCTATGTACATCTGGGCAATGGAGAGTTTGGTAGTATCCCGTGGGATAATATGCATCAGGTATTCTATGCTATTTCATCTTTGCATCACTCACAGAGACCAGAGAGATTGGACTCATTATAGTAGGGATAACATAATCTAAATAGGTACCCTGTGTGCACCTAGGGATAGGAATTCTTAGGTTTCCTAATGATAAAGTTATAAAGAGCCAAAAGGAACAAATATGCCTTCTTTACAGATTTGCCCAAACAACCTAAATATTCAGTACTTTATTTTTATCTATGCATGTATGTATTATCCACAGAACAGCCTCACAGGATAAATGAAACAGAAGGAAAAGTTGCAATTATTTTTCTCTCCCAAGTAACAGATGACCAGAAAACTTGCCAGTTATATAGTAGAGCACAGTCATAATAGAGACAGTTGATCTGGTCAACTCTAGCAAGCAAACGCTTGATTTTTGAGTAAAGTTAATCTGGGAAGCAGCAAGGCAAAGGTGTAGTGGATAGAAAGTAAGTGTGTTTCTAAGCGTGCTATTTGAATGACTACAGATAAGTCACTTAAACTTTTAGTGCACCAAGCAGACCCTAGGTAATAATGAGTTGTCTATCAGTATCACTGAGAGAATTTTTCCACACTGAAAGTTTCTCATATTTTTGAATGGAGGAAAGTTATCAGAAGAGGTGGGGTAAGGCAGAACCCTGAGATTTTTATTATTCCCAAATATCAAAATGAATTAAACATCTTAGGTGATTCCTACCCTGGTCACTCAGTGCAGGTGGGGGGTGTGTGTGTGTGTGTGTGTGTGTGTGTGTGTGTGTGTGAATGGAATAAGTATTATATAGTGTTTACTATATAACAGACACTATACTGTGCTTTCTACAAATATTATCTCATTTGCTTCTCACAACAACCCTGGGAAGTAGGTGCTATTATTGTCCCCACTTTACAGTTGAGGAAAATGAGGCAAACAAAGATTAAGTGACTTCTGAAGAGTCACATGGCCAGTAAGCAGATGAGGCCAGATTTGAAATCAGGTCTTTCTGATTTCAGGCCCAGAGCTCTTATTTGTACCACTTCTCTGCCTTTAGCATTGGGTCCTATTATCTGTACAACCAAAGGTAGTGTTCATCACCAAGGGCTAAAAATGCCTGGATATCCTCAAGTTGGTTACATCCTAACCTGGAGGTATTTACAATGTACCAAAAAAATGAGTTGTCAACATTTCTTCTAGCTTAAATCTAGTACGGTCTCTCTGCCACCTGCTGAGATTGCCACCCCAGAGCTTGTTCACCCTCAACTTATTCATTGGCTATTCTTTCTTCTGGATCAGCTTCTCTCCACTCCCCTCCTCTCAAGTCTCTTAGATGATTGCAGCTAAACGTAATGATATAATTATCATTGTGTTCAAAAAACTTGGTGCTTGCCATGGATAAATAATGCATCCTCCAGGGGGAAACTGGTTTGAGTCTACTTGAACAATGTTTATGCTGGTAGTATGTTCTAATTCATTCATTATCTCTTGTTACATAGAGAACTGGTGAGTAATTATACGTAGTTTCCTATATTAACTTATGTATACTTAGACAGTATGACTACACATACATCTCTTCCACATACACATTGTATCTATGAATGTATATGCTTTAAAGTGTATTTATTTGCTTAAATTCTTAATGAAGAAATTATTCCCATGGTAGTTCTGCCAAATTTAAAAAGGAATACAAAACTGATTACCTAGGTATAACATAAACTGTACAACCTGTGTGTAAGAGTGTACTTCAATTATGGGCAAAACAAGGCATTTGATGTTTTCATGATATGAATCCCTAAATTGAACACGAGGTGCTTTAGGCTGAGTAGTTGGTTATTACAGATGTCATGGTATAGACATGGCATGTAAAGTGATAGAAATAAGACCTTTCATTTCAGCCAAAGAAATAATAAGTGAAGTAATGGAAATATTTTATTTTCAAGGGATCTAAGGCTTAAAATACTACTGTCCAAAGAGTCAAGCTCATTTTAAGAAACTCTTTCTAACTGTTAGACCATGCCTTTCAGACCTAAACCTCTGTAACTTGTACTTTCCCAAAAAACAAAATCTATTAGCTAGATTATTTTATGGACAATATGCAGCATTCACTCTAGAGCTGTTACTCACCTTGATCTAATGTAAGGGAACAATGAAATCACTTAAATTGACACTTTTCTGTCACTGGGATAACAATATAAACCAGAAGAACTCTACTCCAATTCTAGCTTCATAATTGCTCAATAAAGCTAAAAGACTGTACCAATTGATTCCATTTCTGGTCATTGGCCAGGTAAGAATTTTATACTGTGGTTCTCTAGTCTTAAGTCTATCTAATTGAATCCAAGTCCAAGAAGGTATCCCCCTAGAGCCTAAGTTTATAGCTAAGCTGAGGACAGACAAAAAAGAGGGAGAAAGTGGGTATTTGACAGTGCTGAGTCATTTACAACAGGCAAATGGTTTCCTCAGAAACACAGTGACATGCCTTTTAAGTATTAAAAATCTTTCTGGTGCAAATTAGTGCCACATTTTGCCCTGTCTGGCTACAATATTGCAACCACTCTGGAGTCAAAAGCAGATGGCAGTAGGGAAATTCACCTCTAAGAATGGGCAGGCAACACAAAGTATAGAAACTTGAAGCTGCCCCTCAGGTACTTGTAACTTTATCTTAAACCGATAAAGATGTCTCTTGGCAGGGAAAAAGAAAAAAAAACAAAAAACCCTGTATATCCTTTGACTCAGATATTGTATTTTTACTAGACTGTTGAATTCCCAAACAATTGGTGGAAGGTTAAGCACCTAGAGAAAATATTGTATAATGGAGCTATTTTAGTTGACTAGGAAGCAAAGGACAGATAAAGTAAATAACCATCTCTCTCTGTGTAGGTAGCCTAAAAATCACGTGCTTTTCTCTACATGGGGTCTCCGACAGACAAGATAGAAACTGGCGAGGAAATGCTCCATCCCCGACTGTCCACCTAGCCTGGTACCCCTGCCCACACTGAAACACACAGTCCCTCAGCCTTCTCTGTCCCTGCTGTCTTTTAGAGATACTCCAGCAGTTTGAGCTGCCCGGCATCTCCCCAACCATGGCAACCCTCTGCCTCCTCCTCTGCACCACTTGCTAACCTTAATGCCAATCCGAGGTCATGCCGGCAAGCAAGCGAGCGCCCAGGCTCCCCTTTGCTAATTCTTCTCTAGGAAGTGGGGAGCCACTTAACCAGACAAGGGGTGGGTAGGGGGGCCGGAGGAGCGTAGTTGGCAATGGAGACTCACCAGGTAAGCGCCCACCGTGCCCTGCGCCAGCATCAGGGCGCATTCGGACACCAGGAAGATCTTAATGTTGGAGAAGCAGGACACCTTCTTTTTCTTCTTCTTGTTCCTCTGCGCCTCATCCCCTTGCAGCTCGCCGCTCCTGCCTCCGTTGCCACCACCGCCCGAAGAGCCGCTCGGCTTCTTCCCTTGCATCCTTCTTCCTCCTCCGCTGCCGCTTTCCCGCTCCCCCTCTATCTGGGTGCTGAGGTGGTGTGTGCGTGCGTGTGCTGGTGTGTGTGTGTGTGTGTGTGTGTGTGTGTGTGTGTCTCCGCCCAGAAGGCGAGCAGCAACCCTCCGCTTCTCTCTCCCTCTCTCTCTCTCTCTCTCTCTCTCTCTCTCTCTCTCTCTAGTTCTTCTCTCTCCCCCCAGATCTGTTGGGGTGTTTAGAGGTTGAAGGCTGAATCTCCTCTCCTCCCGCTGCTACTGCGCTCGCCCCCTTCCTCTTCCTCCTCCTCCACCTCCTCCTCCTCCTTCTCCTCTCCTCCTCCAGCTTGGGCTGTGCCAATCACCGGGGCTGGGAGTGCAGTGGGAGCTCCCCACACCGCCTGCTGCTGCTGCTGCCTTTCCTCCTGCGGGCTGCTGCCGCTGCCGCTGCCTCTGCCGCTACCGCTGCTGTCGCCGCTTCTGCTACTGCCACTGCCATAACCAGCCCCGTTCTTTCTCCTCTCTTTTCCCCTCCTTCCCCTCTTTTTCTTCTTCCTGACGAACGGGCACTGCTCCTTTCCCTCCTTCCCTCCTCCTCTGCTCTCCGGAGCTCCAGCTCTCTCTGTCTTTTGCACCCCCAGCCCCCACCCCCTGGGTTGGGGAGCGCCTGAGCTCGCTTCTTTCTCCCAATCTCTGTAACCCCGCGGAGTCAGTTCCCAGCCTCAGCCAGAGCCCTGGGGAAGGAAGCTCGGAGGGAATCGCGGATGGCGGTGGGAGGCAGAGAGCGCCAGAGGGTGCCAGGTCCCTGGGGCTAAGGGCGGTGCCACTAAAGGGAGGAAGGGAGGGTCCGCTTCATTGGCGGACGCCCAGGTTTTCAGCTAGTTTTCTGGACTAGGGATGGGGGTGGCAATAAGGATGGGAATAGGGCAACAGGGTTAAAGGTGCCCAGAACAGGGTAGAGATGGGGAATCTGGGCTGGAGAAAAGGGGTGGAGGTAGGGAGGTAGGCAGTGCCCACAAGAGGGTAGTACTGGGAGCAGTGGTGCTTCAGAAAGAGGAAAGGGGCAGGGGCCAATCTGGGCCCCTTTTTTGTCCAGCGTCCAGGGGACCAATAGAAGCTTTGCCCGGGCCGGGGAGAGTGGCGGGAGGGCTTTTCTGATTGTTCTCCAGCGCAAAGACCGTGCTAGCAATGAGAAGAGACAGATGCCCACTTCCTTCTGCAACAACTCCCACCTCTTTCCCCGGGCGCTCTGGCTCTGACTTCTACGAGGTCACCAGTCCCCGAGAGAAAGGGAAAGAAGGACCTGAAATGTGTGGGAAGTTATATTAATTTGCTTGTTGCTGCTGTAGCTGCCAGTTTTTCCAGCCGTGTAGGCAGCAGCCGCCAAGGGGCAGGTCGGTCTTTCTTCAGGTCCTTCACTACTTCACCACAAACGGAAAGGGATATAAGGGCAGAAATGACTCCGACATCAGCTGAAGAGGCCATTATCCAAAAGTTGCAATTGAATACCCATTACCTCTGGCTGCCTCACCACACTGTTGCTGCTGGAGAAACCTGTGGCATGCAATTCTTAAATAATCCTGAGTGCCAGAGAGGATTTTGGGTCTCAAAGCACTGACTATAATAAGATCACAAATTCCAGAGACACACCTTGAAAAAGCTGAATAAAACCGAGCATATGCCTAAAGGAGGTGAGCAGTGGTATCTAGCTCCCTTAAGCTGATCCTGAGACCATTTATTCCTTGCTATTCTGACTGATTCTAAGAGGTAGTGTGGTAAAGGGGTTAGAGGGTTTAGAGGGCTGGAGTAAGAAGAGTTGGGTCCCCTTCTACCTGGGTAACCATGGCAAAGTCACTTAATTTATCCTTAGTGCCATAACTGGAAAACAGTGACTGGAATTTTGCCTTCCCAGGGGTCCTTCTACCCCACCCCCTCCATTTACTGCCCACTCTCAAGTTTTCAGTGCTAAAAGCTATGCCCATGGCACAGGGCACTCCCTCCTCTCCACTCTTCTACATCCTCTAGGGGTATTTTTGCTAGGATTTTAGTAGTAGCCATTCATTTTGCGCCTTATTCCTGGGCAGCTTCCTCCCTTTCGAGAGGTTGAAAACCTAGTAGTGTTAGGGCACATGCCTTCCTCTTAGAAAAACCCTAAGTGAACTTACTTTGTCCCATTTCTGTCAGCTCCTCCTGGTATAGAAATTGTAAATTACTTCTTTTTCTGGCCCTACTCCTTTTGGTTCATAAATGAAGGGAGCTACATTATTCAGTGGATAAAACAGGGGACTTGGATTCAGCTATGTGATCCTGAGCAAATCACTTAACCTTTGTGTGCCTCAGTTTCCTCATCTGTAAAACAAAGATCATAATAGCACCTACCTCACAAGGTTGTTGTGAGGTTCAAATAAGTTGATAGTGGTTTGCAAACCTCAAGGCATCATATGAATGCTAGCATGTAACAACAACAATAATAATAGATGACCTGCAAGGACTTTTCCAACTCTAAACTTACGATTTCAAGGCACTTAGTTGAAAACTTCTCTTAAAAATCTGCAGTTTTTGAAAATTTCTTTATTAAAAAAAACTCTTGAAAGTAATCAACTGTCATTTGCAGAAGCTTAATCCTTTTTTTTATTACAGCAATAATTTGAAAGCTGAACAGCAATTAACTACATATGTACTTTCCTCAAAAGTACTTGGCTTCAATTTTATCATTGAAACTTATTGAGTATGAATGGGTGAAGGAAGAAGGGGAGGTATGATTAAGGGTTATTGCTATTACATAGAATAATAAAATAATATACAGTATTGTTATTTTTTTTTCTAAGAGGCCCAGACTACTTTATAGACATGATCTCATTCAAGTTCACAACAACCCTCTGAAAGACAAAATCTCCATAACTTCTTTATTTGGATATTCTCCCTGGCACTAAATGTGGTAAAAATAATTCCTTATGGAATTACCCTTTGCCATTTTCTCCATTTCTCATCAATGATACCACCATCCTCCACCAGTCCCCTACATTCATAATTTTGGAGTCATGATTTATTGACCCTTCTCCGTATCCCATCCCCATATAATATACCTCCCCCTCTCCCTCCTTACCTGCTTCCTTACAGTCTAAGTTCTCAGAAATATCTTTTTGGTAGTTCTAGTCAGCTAGGTGGCATAGTGGATCAAGTGCTGGGCCTTGAGTCAGAAAGACCTAAGTTCAAATTCAGGTTCATAAACTTATTAGCTGTGTGACCCTGTGCAAGTCAATTAACCTGTCTGCTTCAATATCCTCAATTGGAAAATAGGAGTAATAACAGCACCTCCCTCACAGATAGGTTGTTGTAAGGATTAAAGGAGATATCTGTAAAGCACTTAGCACACAGTGACTAGCACACAGTAGGTATTATATAAATGCTTATTCCCTTCTGTTTCACCCCTCATCTTCTTTCCGTCCATTTCTATAGCCATCATATGATTAATAGTCCTCATCCAGACATTGTTTAAATACTCAACGAGCTCTCATTTATTCCCTAGTGACTAGGACCTATTAATCTCAGGTATTTTTCCCCTTAAGTGCTGGATATTTGTCTCATTATATTCCCAAACCATTGGTTCTATATATAAGCACATTGCATTTTACTTCAATTATTAAACGTTTCACTTTAGGTGAAACAATATTGTTGAGGGCTATTTGTTTCATAGCAACAATGTTAAAAATGGAAGATGTATTCCTGGTCAGCCTGGTAACTATAGAAATAAAAATCAATCTTTACAATTACCTGAGGCTATATTTTAGGGCTGTGCCGGGTAGAGCAGAGAGAGTTGGTTCAGATGTGGGTAGACTTGGTATACCAAATTATCCTCAAGACCCTAGAAGTTTTTGGCTTATTACCAGCAGAATTGGTAGTGACTGGCTCCATCAGGGAACAAAGTAAAGATTTCAGAGACCTCCTAGAAGGAGGATATGAACAAAGGTAATTCTTTACTATCCAGAAATCCCCTAATCTTTAGTTTAAGATCTGGTTGGAAATGACAGCTCTCTGATGAGTCTGAATATTCTTTCTCAAAGGAAGAAAATCATTTAGCGTCCACAGGAGGGGGAAGGTATAATCTATCTCCTTAGAGAAATGGAACAGTGTCTGACTCCTAGGGCAATCTGTGGAAAGCAGTATGGTGGAGTGTTAGACTTGGAGTCCGAGAATAGCTGTCACTGACAATAGTTATGTGACTTTAGGCAAATTCCTTAACTCTCTGAGCAATAATTTCTCAATCTGTAAAACAGGACAATAAACCTATAGTACCTAGGCTTGGTGAGAGAATCAAAAGAAATAATTAAATGTAAAGTTCTTTATAAACCTTAAAGGGCAGTATCAATATCACCCATAAAGTACTTTTACATATGTCATCTCTAAGTAATACAGGTATTATTAGTCACATTTTACAGATGAAAAGACTGAGGCTCACAGAGGTTAGTGTTAAACAAAGCCCATATCACATAGCTAGTGTCAGAGGTGGTATCTGATCATAGTCTTAGTGACACCAGGGTTATCATGTCATCTTAAACTGAGTTCTTAAAGCATTAGAAGGATAGTGTAATTAATAGGATAATGATTTTGAAGTTATAAAAACTGAGTATTCTTTCCCTTCGCCACTCCTTCTTCCCCTGTTTTATCAACCATTTAACTTGATGTCTCTTCTCTATTACTGGGACTGCTGGGAATAAAGGTAACCCTCTTTTCAATGAACTATCTTTAGAAAGTGCTTAATGTCTCTGTAATATTTAATAACCCAATGAATGAAATCTCAAAGTGGACTGAGAACAGAAGAACATTATAGGAAACACCAAATTAAGGATGGGACATGACCATCAAAATATTTATTACAAAGATGCATTGACAAAATGAAGTTGGTTAGAGAAACAATATGGAAGATGCCTGTAATTTTTTTTTTGGTGAGGGGATGGCAAATTATGATTTTGTTGGTGTGGAAACTCCCCCCAATAATGCAAATGTGCAAAGTGGTTTGTAATTTATAGCCTGGGACACAGAAAGGTTAACTGATTATTCATGGTCAAACATTTACTGGGGGTCTTAAGAGGAATTGTACCCAGGTCTTCTATATTCCAGTTAGTAAGAATCTAATATTTTTCACACCAAGGACAGCCCTCTCTCTACTAGTACTGTACCATACTGTCTTTTGCCTTTAAATATAAATGGAAGCATATGTCTCTTCAGTTTTTCAGTTTGTATAGACATGAAGAGACATGTCTCTAGGGAAAGGGAACTTTTTAT